CTTCCGATCAATGATCTCATAATGAATATGCATGTCATTTTCTTTTTCTTTCGTTACCAATCTTACCTTAATTGTATGAGCCCACGAACAATTCAAGGTCTAGCAATCCTTTTCTAAAATTTTCAATTTTTTTTTTATAATATTTTATTATCTAATTCAAGCAAATGGTATCCTCATATTAATTTATCTAAAACATAATATATTTTTTTCTTCTTTTTTTTTTCAAACAAGGTGAGAGCTCGAATACGACATTGAGATTTTTATTTTATTTTCAATCAATACACTATGTATTTGAGTACAACTTTTCAAATTTATGGAGATATCAGACATGATATTTCGTTGTAAAGATATTAAAATATTAAGATCCCATTTGGGGCAGCTTTTTCAGTGTGGCACATTTTGAAAACGCCCGCAACAACGTTTGGATATTGCGTTTATATGAACTGGCTGTGTTGCATAGTAAACATGGGCTAAAGGTTCAACCTCGCAACCCTCGTTTTGTCTTTCATTTTTCTTCGGCTTTTACTGCCCTATCCCAAGCTCTCCTCATGTCCTACTCTTCCCTATCTCGCAAGCTCTTCACTCCCGTGTCCCGCTCTCCCCTCTCTCGCGATTCTACCTTAAATGTAACATCGACTATTCTCCTCCTTTCTGATTCATGGCTCCAATGGAAAGGGTTTGCCTTTCCTCTCCTCTCCCTAACGCCTTCGTTCTTCGGCTTCGTTTGGTTCATTTGCTCTGCGTTGACCCACAATATTCTCTACCATTATCTATTCTTGCATTTTGATTTTTTGATCATTTTATTTTCGAGTGGTTGTGCATTGGTGTTGGATTTTGCAAGTTCTGTGATTTGGATTTTGCCATTTTTTAAAGTGGTGGTGCTGTGATGGGTTGTTTTGTGATATTGACCTCTCTGTGTTCTATGCAGTTTGATTGTTTCTATTTGATGTGTTCTATTTGGTTTGTGTGTGGTTTTGTGAATGTGTTGATGCCTTGATGTCTTGGTGTGTGGTTGTGTTTGTGTGTGGAGGTGTGGAAGTGATGGTGGGTGGTTGTATGTTGTGAGTTGTGTGGAGGTGTTGGTGTGTGGTTGTGTGTTGTGTATTGTATGTGGTGTGTGTGTGGTATGTGGTTGCGACAGAAAAATATTATTCGGTCGATACTGGATATCTCTTACAAAGTGGGTATCTAAAGTCATTTCCAAATACCAATATTTCATTCCTGACTTTGAAAGATTCAACAATGTTGCTCAGAGCAGAAAATAAATGTTAAATAAGAGACACTCGTCCTTATATGGTGTAATTGAAAGAACATATGGAGTGTGGAAGAAAAAATGGGTCATATTGAGTGATATGTCATTTCCGAAGCAGGTGCATATTGTACTGGCCACAATGGTTCTTCACAACTATATTCAGTGACATCATTCGCGCAATGGCGTTGACTTCAGCATGGCTGATGATGATTATTTATGTCCTACTTGAAACATTTGAATATCACATAGAACAATCTATATCATAGACAAAAGTAGACTCACATGAGAGGGTTGCACCAAAGATGACGAAGGTGTTGGGGAAATGATTGGAATTTAAAAAGTGGATTACATATGCTATTTTTGGATGTTGAATGGACTAATTAAATTCTTTTCTTATTGTTGCTTTACGATGGATGGTGAGAAATATTGTTGTTTGTTATGTGGATGTTCTGTTAAATCATTTAAAATTTGAATCTCATTTTTATTTCTCCCTTCTTTGTATGTATTATTCCCCATCTAGATGGACGAAGAGGCAGCCGTATATATAATATGATATATAAATATTTATTGCATGTCTATTTTTATTTTTTTGGAGGTCAATGATGAAACATTCGACCTTAAGGGTTTTTCTGGATGGCCTATTTGTCCCTACTGGTTCTTGCCACGTGTGAAATCTCAATGAAAGCAACAAAAAATTCTCTCATTATTTTCAGTATCGTGGTTTTCTGTAGCTCTTCTGGATGACTTATTTTTTTGGTGATATACATATGTGACACATTCGTGTTTTGAAGGAAACCAATAACTTCAAAGTTCTTTGTTAACTTCACGTCAGCCACATAGTTGCAGGAGACAGTTTTACAGATACCTGCAGAGAATCAAGGGGAACTGTGACTTTTTTCAATAGGCAGATAGGCTGGAAGCTTCTACCGTCGAGAGTGATCGGGCATGGAGAGTATCCTTAGAGGATGACTTTGCTCATGACATACGCCGTCTGCATTTTAAAATAATATTATCATATTATTAAATATTATTTTAATAGTCTTTCTCTTAATTTTAGTAATCTTGATACTCACTTTTAAGTGAGATGTATTTTTTTAATGTTTTGCACTAGATTTTTGCTTCTAAAGCATAAAATATATTGGTATGACAGCTTTTTTGCAAACAACATTACTATATAGAGACAACATGATTTGTCCAGAAAAAACTGCAACGCAGTTGTTTTTTAAACTTAAAAAAAACAAACAGCTTATCCACAATAGCTTCTGCGCAACAGCTCCTTGGGGCGGCTGCTGCGCATCAATTTATTATTAATCTGTAGCTGCCCCAAACAAACCCTAAATGACAAGTTCATGTTAAAACGGCAAAAAAAGGCCTATCAAAATGGAGAAAATATTATATCCAGATGATGAATGTGTGAACTGCGATGTGAATCACATCATACTAACGTATGTATAACATAATATGATTCACCCCATCGTTTGCACATCCCATGTATTTTTATGCGTAGAGCTGTAAAAAATGATCATTGTTTGAGAACAACTCGTGTTTGGCTAGCTTAGTTGCTCGTGTTAGATACATTCATTAAGCAAACGAGCCAAACACGAACAAATTTTTTAGTTTGATTTATAAACGAGTCAAACACAAACAAACTTTTGTTCAATCGTGTTTAGCTCATTTTAGCTTGAATTAATTTTATAATAAATATATAATATATACAAATTAAAATAATGATTTGATTTATATAAACGTAAGAAAAAAATTGAGGATTTATAAATACATAAAAATTGGGTGATAAGTGTATAACACCCCTCACATTTTTTTCAAAAATTTTGATGTTAGATATGTAAATACAAAGAATTGGGTGTGATGTGTGCTAAAAAATTCACGGCGGTAGAGTAATAAATTATCGTCTAGTGTTGTATGAAAGTTTGACACATACATGATAAAATAGAAAAAAACGGCGATGATCTAAAAGTTTTTACGTGGAAAACCCGTAAGGGAAAACCACGGGGTCAGACCCAGTTGCGGAAATCCATTGTTGATTGATGATTACAGAAATCCCTTGTCCCATAGACGGGAAAGGGTAACTATATTTTTCAAGGTACAACGTCGACTGACGGTATCTGGTTGATGGTGATCGATGATGGTAGGTGGAGGTTAATGACGGTTGGCGGTGGTCAACTACGGTCGGCGGTGATCGAAGGCGGTCGGCGGTAGTCCACGGCGGTCGATGACGGAGGTCGGCGATGATTGACAACGGAGGCCGACTGTGGTCGACGACGATTGATGGTGATGCTGAGCTACAACTTCTCTTCAAGACCTCAGGCTCTCTCTAGACTTCTATCCTCTTCATGAGAGGGATGGGACTCTATTTATAGTGTTCTGGGTGCAATTAATGCAGGAATGTTAACTATTTTGATCGGACGGTCCGAGAGCTTCCCTCGATCATACGACGTTTAATACACATTTGAGTGCCTTAATGATGTCAGAATTGAGTGATCTTGGGCTCGTTGGATTCGTCTTGTCAAGGTGCTCGATTTAAGTATAAACTTGTCATATTTAACAACTGTTTGACTTTCCAAATATATTCATAAATCTTCTAGTTGTGGTTTAATGACTTGATCTGGGCTGATAAATCTTCTAGTTGTGGTTTAATGACTTGATCTGGGCTTGATTTGACTTGGATTGGGCTAGTTTTCATATTATTAGGCCTGTCTCATCGAGGTGGTCGATTTGACTATAAGTTTACTGAAATTGGAGCTCTAGATGACTTTTTATCAAGATTTGAACGTTTCTTGTTCAAATATCGTCTTGCGATCCGTGTCATGTTTCGAGATTCGTGCAGGATGATGAAAATTTATTGGTGTCGTATCAGAGTGATATGTATGTAAATGCCCCCACAGATTTAAATAAAACTCCCATTTCTTCACTTCTGCATTAAGTTAGTCCCACATCGGGCACTTCAAGAGCAAAGAGAATAACATTCCATTATAAATATTCCTCCCCAACACTTCTACACGATTCTTCATTATTAGTCTAAAAGTGCGGGTCTGTTTGGGGTAGCAGCAGCTTACCCAGCTTATGTTGATAAGCAGCTTATCATGATAATCTGCTGATGACCAGCTGATCCAGATAAGCTGGCTGTCAGTTTAGTTTGTGTGTTTGGAAAACAGCTGATTTTGGATAAATGATCAATTTGTCCATGTTCTGGATAAGTTGTTTGGTTGTTTGATTTGTGTGTTTTGTAAATAGTTGATTTGCAGATTTTTTTTGTTAAATGAACAATCTGATACGTAAAATTGATATTGTTATCCAAAAAACTGCAATATCTACCCTTATAGTAGCAGTTGCTTCATAAAGTTGTTTTGATTAATATAGCACCCTCACAAAAGTTTAGCAAAGCAAAAGAACTGAAATTCTAGAAAACTTCCTTGACAAAATAATTGTCATGTTATGGAGCCAAACATATATGCATTTACTCAACTCAATTAAACAACAGGTATTGTAATTTCAACAAAGCAATGCAGAACCTCATCAAATTTTTTGCTGAAGGTGCCAAATTTAAAACAATTCAGATATTCAGGGAAAAAATATTCAATGAGCCGAAAGAGTAACAACAGTGAAGGAACGAAAAAAGAAGAAGGAAGAAGAAAGAAGAAATCGAGGAAGAAGAAGAAGGAAAAACGGTAGAAGAAGAAAGAAGAAGGAGAAGCATGATGGGCCACCTAGAGGATCAATCGACCATACCCGAGCCACAGAGGTAAGAGGAGGAGCTTGTGCAGCATTTTTTTGCAATTGAGGGATGAGAAGCATTCCTACGCTAGATCTTCGACGAAGAGGAGAAGTAGTGCGAGCCGTTTCCTACCCCACGTGCGGCATGTAGGCTTCGACTGAGAGCCTGGGGAGGAAGAAGAAGTTACGGGAGCGTGAAGGGATCCACCGAACCCGACAAAGGAAATAGGGCAGCGCGAGAGGGCAAGTGGGTAAAAGGGCGCTCGAAACGCTGATCGCGGGGTTATACTTGTAATCACATTTTCATTAAAATCAGGAACACATTTTTTATATAAGCACCTGAAACGTGCGAAACAAACGGTGCGGCGGCGTTTTTAAAAAAGCCACCGTATTGCCCCAAACAGGCACTTATAAGCTGGCCCAAATGGATGGCAATGAGATTACCATCCATTTATAAATCTAAAAATGAAGTTTGAATTTTCAGCTTCTTGCTAATTATGCGAAACATGAACCATTAAATTTTTACATCTTTCAAAATTAATTCAAAATTAAAAAATACTATTACTTTAAATATAATTTAAGAAGTTTAGTTTAAGTCGAACACGTGTAATACTATTAACGAGTCGTTCGGAACAATCTGCGGGGATCCGCATACATACCTAATTGCAAGCTTGAAAATTTTCAATTCAATCAAGGGGAATTTACATACATAGCACTCAATTCTTATAAATTTACTTATATTTTCACATCCCAAATTAACTATTTATATAAATAATATAATTCATCTTTTACGTAGAAGAAAAAATAATTAATTTTAATTAAAAATAGGCGTGAGATGAGTAAAAAAAGATAAGAATCGAGCGATGCATATGTAAATTTCCTCTGAATGAACGGTCCGTCCTACTTTTATCCGATCCAAATCCATATAAACTGACCATGCGGACACCGACCGGTGGAAAAAGGTCCAGTTTTTTAAGAAATGAGAGTGCCGGAGAAGGAAGGGAGCATGAGCCCTTACTGGCTGTCGTCGACGAACTGGCTTGTTGCCGACGGATCCCTAGATGGCTCGATCTCCTTCGAGACGTCGATCAACGATGGCGGGGATGTGATTCCGATCGGCGTTCTTCTCGAGAGTCCGGCTGATTCACCGCCCTGCGAGATCACCGGTAAGCTCTGTAAAAATTCTCGTTTGCTTTTCTTTTGTTTCAATTTGGTTCTGCCATCGGAACCCCCTGAGGGGAATATTAAGTGCTTTTTATTCTGATTCATGGAGGTTCGTTCCGAAAGGAGAACTCCTTGCGGCGTCATGTTGATTTATTTAACTGTGAATTTGGACCATTTTGTGGAGAAGAATTATTCGAGCAATTTGGAAGATTTATAGTACGTTTACATGCAGTGTCAGATGTATTAAGTCTTTGCTAAATGGATGTTAAGATTAAATGAAGTTACTTTGGGGGATGATCTATTTAGCTGTGATATGTTATGACTCTTTTAGATATTTGATTTCTTACCTTCTTGAAGCTGAATTTCATGAAACTTTTAGTCTATGAAACTTATCCTTTTTATTATTATTATTAGCTTGTAAGGTTTCAAATTCGGTGATCTTTTGAATTGAAATTCTTTTTTCATGGTTAGGGATGGTTATCATGAAAGAGTATTAAAAAAATATATGAAAAGGAAATAATGATTCTAGGATTAGGCGGTGGAATTTGAAAGGTAAGAAATTTTTAATCTTTCAAGCTAGGTTGTTAAGGGAGGCAAATCATCATTTTTTTGATGAGCAGAATAAATAATGGGATAAGATCGATAGATCTACTAAGAAAATTTAGGTAGCCGATCATACTTTGGTGAGTAGATTTGGTAGTAGAGTGTGGAGATGCCAAAGGTTATCTAATAAATATGATTTAAAAATTTGCAAACGCCAATTGTTAGTGAGGTCCAACTATTTCAAGAAAGGTAGAATTCTTGCAAAGAATTTTGTAATTAAAGAGAAAAGTTTTGATTATATGGTAGGAAAATCTAATCATAATGAAGTTTGCTTACTCCCTCAATCGCCTCAAAATAATGTTGAGGTGAAATTGAAACTTTTCAATATGTTTGAAGAATTCCTCCCATTGTTGAAACATTGAAGTCCATCTCCTTTTGCTCAGGGTCAAAATGTCTCTTTTGTTTATCCCGGATTGAACAAAGCCTTTCTTGAATCAAATGATTCTTGTATCCTCATCCGCCAGTTGACGTTCTAAGAGTTTTTTATCACCAAACTTGAAATAGCATAAAGTTGATTGGTATTTTTGCCATAAAGAGGCTCATGTAGTACCATCTAGCACTGGCTTGGAAACATCCATCGAAACAAACTTTAGAAATGGAATACATTCTTTTCTTGTACCAATAAAATCCCTAAACCAAGCTCTGGACATATGCTCTAAGGTTTGAACAGTACATGTCAATTGCTCGTCTGTCTGACTATAATATATTATGATAAAGTCTAGACTCATTTATAAAGCCATTGAATTTTCTTCCATGTTTTGGAGGTAATTTTCCTATCTCATTTAGATAAGGTAATGATAAGTATCCCATTAAATTGAATGACCTTGTATATGTAGATTATTGCCAACTTGTCCAATGTGTTACTCTACTTGCTAGGTAGAATATGAGTTATTTTTGCAAGTTTATTTATCGTTGCCCAAACTTCATAAGGACCTTGGTTGAACTTAGGCAATCAAATTGCAAGATGTTCTTGAGATTATTATCATAAAGTGTCCCGGCCGTGCTAGGGTGTGTATTGATTGTGTTTAACTCTATTTTAAAAAAAAATGCTAGACTTGATTTTCAAAATGTCAAAGACATCTCTATGTCCAACACAAACAAAGAAGTCTTTTTTTAGTGTTCTTGCTTCATAGTTAGAGACAAATGGCCTCTTCCATCCACCTTGCCCCTCTCTTTAGCTCTCCATTTTTACAATTTTTTTTTTACTTTCCTCTTTATATGTAATATTGTACTTGTACTAAATGAAAAGGTCTTTTAGAATTAGATTGGATCATATATATATATAT